ATTCATATATATTTATTTTATTTTTAAAATTATGCATTGTTTTAACGAAATAAGTTTTTGTAATACAATTATCAAATTAATTTTCCTTAACTCTCTCTTACCTCCAAAAAAATTGTATACTCATCATTATATTTAATTTTATTGATTCAACATATAATAATATAAAGATCATTAAAAATTTTATTTAATTAAAATTTTGTAGTGTAAGGATTTTTCTATATATATATATATATATATATATATATATATATATATATATATATATATATAATTTGATATTCCATTTCCAATTAGCTTGTACTATAAAGATGAAATCATTTAATTCAAAATGATTTCTTCACAATGAATTCTTTGAAATGTACAAACAAATTCGCTATAAATATTAAGACACACATCTCACAAACCATCATATTCCAAGTTTTCTATTATTGGTAAATTGTATAACATTTTCTCTTTTAATTCAACAAATGGTGTTTCAATATATATATTTTTGTCACTTTTGTAAGAGATTATGAAGAGGAGGTTACATGAAACCAAAAATCCTACGTACGGTCAATCGTTTGTGCTACTTTAGATGTCTTTCAAAAGAAGAGAGTAGAGAAGATGCATTATTGTAGGTTTTCTTTGCCGACAACATTCATTATATTCAATCTATATTAACCTAAATTTGGGTTGACTCAAATAAATTTGATATTCTTGCAGAGAGATTAAGAAGAAAATCAAGAAGACTAAAACGAGAAGAAGGAGAAGACTACTATATACAATGACTTTTCATATGGTTATCTTTTGGTAGTTGAAATTTAGTAATGCTTTGGAAAAAGGCAAGTAAAACATATATTGAACCAAGTTGTAGTCTCGAAAATATTAAGTGAAAATTTTAAATCTATATATTGATCTGTTAGCTATCTCATTCATCTGTTATTTTTATGTATGCGTTATTATTGTTGTTTTGCTTACACAATATATTTCATTTATATTTTTTATATAAAAAAAATGTATACAATAACCCACGCGTCGCGTGGGCAAACATCTAGTAGTTACAAAAACTTCACTCTCCCACTAAAATATATTAAATATTTGATTATATATATTGACTACAATTCATGAATTGAATGGTAAATATAAGACAATATTATTAAATGACTCTAAAATACAATATACAACGAGATTGAATTCACATTATCATAATTTTCGAATTCATGAATAAATGTACATTATCATTAGCTTAGGCATTGAATTCTCACTTTTCTAACGGTTAACTAAAAACTCTAAAAGAAAAAGTAATGTCGTTCTAACGTAATATTAACATGGAAATATTACGTGTATATATATTTAGATGTGCACTTTAGTTTTGAATTCATATTAGCTGTAGAGTTCAGCCTTTTAATTTTTGTGATATATTTTATATTGTTTAATTTCCTATTGTTAGTTAAGTCTTGGTTACATATATCTTCTTTTGTTTTTTGTTTTTTGTTTTTCTTTAAGATCTTCTTTGGTTTTTGCTTTGTTGTAAATGTAATTGATGAATTTTTTGCATCTTCTCCGAACCATATTCTTCACAATATGGTAGAACTAAAAACTAAAGAGGAAGATATGAAAGCATCAAATGCATTTTAAACCATTAAATGTATATGAAGAAATGAGTGGATTATGGAAAATAAAATCAATTATATAAGCAAGCAAGGATCCATGAGAAAGAAATGAGGATATGTATGATAGGAAAACAAAGTTTTGAAAGGAAGAGGATCGGTTATGGAGGTTCATGAAATCACAACTTCACAAGCAGATGTAGAGCACAAGGTTTATAAAGTTCAAATGGTGGCTAACTTGAGGCAAGTGTTCGGATAATCTCGGAAAAATGGTGAAAATATGATGATAGGTATGATAATAATAGGTTAACGTCGTAATTTACTTGTCTCTCAAGATGAAATATTTTTAGTTAAATTTTAATATAATGGATAGATTCTTATTTTTGTTTATTAAATTTGTAAAAATATATATAGCCTCATGGGTGTTAATTAAATAAAATATGATTTGTTCACTAAATTAGGAAAAATGTATAGATTTTTATATTAATATATCCTATAAATTTTGTAATACTTTTGTTTGTTTTATTTTTCTAAGTTTGTTCTATAGATTTTTCATTTTATTTTAAATTTGGTATGATAAATAACCATACTAAATAAATTTGACAAAAATGCAAGGTTCCACTTTGTTTTTATATGACCATTTCACTTCCACATCGTTGCCATATAGGAAATTTTGAGATTTAATTTTCTAGAAAAATAATAATTTCTTTTTTACTATGTTAGTTGAAATTTTTATTTTATTTTTTATTATATTTAGAAATATAATTGAAGCCATTATAGAATAATTCACGCGTCGCGTGGGCTAACACCTAGTAAAACACAAAGTAAACATCGTATACAAAAAATAGAGCAACAAGATCCTTTTGCAAAAGAGATTTTGCCCAATAAATGAATAAAATTTTTGGAATTGTTGGTCTAAAATAAATCTTTGGTTCGTTGTTGACCTATTTCCGAGTACCATTTCAATTCTGGTGTAACGGATTGACCATGTAAAATTGATTTTCACAACTACCTACATCTGTCTTGTGTTCTATTTTGCTGAAGGTCTCAACACTCTCAAGACTCTCCCCCATTTTCACTCTTTTGAATCCAGACATTTGCATGGGATGTTGTGTTTTAATCGTTTTAGACGGTTTTTATGGTGTAACGGATTCACCATGTAAAATTGATTTTCACAACTGCCTACATTTGCCCCGTAGTCTATTTGGCTGAAGATCTCAAGTCTCTCTGCCATTTTCACTCTTTCGAATCCAAAAATTTTCTTAATTTTTGTATGATGTTATCATTTTACCTAGACTTAGACTTTGATTGTCCTGAAGTAAACAAGAAAGTAAAGCTTTAGAAGAGAGGTTTAAAAATCTGAACTCTTTTATCGCCAGGGACTGTGCTCATCAATATGGTGGTGCATGAGGTGTATTCAAAAGAATTGAGTTGGCCACCTATGTCAACAAAGTGCACTTAAGCGTGCTTGTGCTGGAAAAATGTTAGGATGGGTGACCTACTGGAAGTGATTAGCAGTATCGTGTGAGTGAAGATACAACGCGGGAAAATATCACATGTTGATCTGTAGGATCGACAAACAAGTTTTTAAAGCCACTAAATGTTGCGAACCAGTCGTCAAACAAGAGTGGCTATGGTTAGATGGAGGACGTGGGCCCCACTGACGGTGGCGGTCAAGGCATCACACCAAGAACAAGTTCGAGACAGCTCTAAAGAAGGCAACAAAAAAGAAGAATACATAAGCTACTGCTATGGCAAGTTTTTGACACACACACAAAAAATATCTCATCCTAGAAAAACATTTTTAAAACAACTTAGTTTTAGAAAAAATCAAAATTTAGCAAAGTCTTGGCATTCTATGATGGAGCTAGAATGCCTTAACCTGCTCTAATACCAAAAATTGTAACACCCAACCATGCTTCCCTAGCGGATGAGTATGCCACGTGTCATGATCGTTTTAAATGCTTGCCATATCGGAAACGTATATAGACTCCTTGAAAAACGAACCTACATCCAATTTTGGGATGTGTGAGCAAACGAAGAATAAATAAGCTACATGCAACAGAGAATCTAACAACATAGCGAATCACACAATTTAGCATACCACATTCCTAACAACCAATTTCAATCAACAAGTCTCCTTATCTCACACACATCCATGTTGTGCAGCACACACCTCTTCTTCTTTACTATGGTTAAGTCACTTATCCGTCAAATTGTCCCTAGGTGGATGGGCCGTCGACCATCCCGGGGTCCTCTCGCCCGCTATCTCATGCAAACACATGCATTCATTTATTCTCACTCAATTATACAACACATAACCATACGTCAGCATCTATCAACCTATAACACATTAATCAATCTAGCTATATAACCAGGTCTAAGTGTTCCAGAACAACAAAATCCAACGATGACTTTGCCACATGGAGTCAGTTGGAGTGTCCGAAAATTTCTCATGGAATAAAAACCCTCAATTGATTGAGTTTCTTAAGCATTGGTGATAACCGATTCAATCCGTATCCAACAAATCAGTAACTAAGAAAAGATTTTATATCTTTAATTAACATTCTCTTATTGGTTACTAGTTTATGCGTTAAGTGTTGGCGATACTCGAATAAATCTTTTCTTAATACTCATTAGAAAGTCAGATAGCCGATTAAAGAATGTTAAAGCTTGAAACATGTAAACGTGCTCCCTTTCCTTGGTTTAACGTTGTGTCTCAAATGGCATAGTCAACATAAGTTAACCATTTAATCATGAATTCAACGAAAACTTAAGCATTTATATATAAACGACATTTTGAAAGTTGAGGATTTAAACGCCCACAATTTGAAAATTTAGGATTTAAGCGTCCACAATTTGAAAGTCGTGGCTTTTCTAGTAAGAAGAAAACGACGTTGTTTTGATAAAACGGAAGCTTTAACCATGTTAACGTGTTGCGTCTCTCGATTTAACGTCATGGCTCAAATAACATAGTCAACATAAATTAACCATCTAATTATGAAGTCAACCATTAACCATCTAATTATGAAGTCAACCAAAACTTAGACATTTAAACAACTTTCAAAAACATGAGGATTTAAACATAATTTGAAAGTTCAAGGAAGCTTTTCTTGATATTTTTCCCAAAAAATAATAGAAATCCCCCTGTGGCATGTGCTAGTTCTTGCTTAACGTTAGTTTGTGAGAGATGGGCCGGTTGTAAACGGGCCGGGCTTGGCGATATTAATATCCAGCAGTCGCTTTCAGTAATCTTTTCCTTCTTTTTTCTTTGACCGTCACTTTCAAATTTCAATAACGCGTTTTGTTTAGCGGGTGATTTGCGTGGCCTGGGTTGTCATGTTTTTTCCTTTCGATTGTGAAATCTCGAATCTTTCAAACTTATATAAATTCGCATCTCCTCCAAAGCATGTTATCACAAATTCGCTTCCACCAAAATTTTTTAAATCATCAAGGGATTTCAACAAAATCATCATCAACGATCTCAGAAACTAATGCTGCTACAATCATATATCCTAGCTTATTGGCGATTAATTAAGGAAGTTGCATTCAAGGTTTCAGAATTAGGGGCATCCGAGGAACCTGGTGCGTATTCACATGAAGCGGCCTTTCCTCCAGCCGGATCAGAATCATACCTTGACGCTGACGAAACTCAATTCATAACTCGTAAGCAGTCTATGGAAGATATATTCCCTTCGGTTTGGTCCCCCGAACTGCAGCAGCGTCAGTAAGGCTTCGCATTCACCGATCCCTTGGATTAACTCCATCATCAGTGCTTCTCAATTTTCGCATTCTTTTTTGAAATAATTAGATTGTATGTCCTAAATTTTATTAGAAATTTGAAATGTATACTATAATTTTTTAAAATTTGAGATGTATCTTATTCTTTTTCCAAAATGACATTTTTACTTATTATATGATATGGTTTTTTCGGTTAAATGTTCCAATTTCGGTTAAATGTTCCAATTTCGGTTAAATGTATCGCATTTTTTCGGTTAAATGTTCCAATTTTCTTATTATATGATATGGTTTTACTTTGCAAAGGATGTAAAATTGTAAATGTATAGACTAATTTTTTTTTTTTTTCAAAGTTGAAATACTCAGCGTAGGTGCCTCTTTTGATACCACTCACGCAGATCTTTCAGCGTTATATTAACTCGTTCACTTTGTTTTGGAACTCGGAACCTACTCTAAAAATATCTCCGATCAAGGTATATTGCAGGTATGAAGCTTCTTCCTTTACCACTCAATCCGTACCATTTACATAGTTTACACTTTACAGAAATCTGAGCAAAGATACCCGTAATCTTTCGAGCAAAGATTAGCCCTATTCTTTTGTGAATCGCTGCGACAATCACTGGCGACATAAAATTTAATGGAAAAGAAAAAGGTGAGAGGAGTAAGAGAGTCGATGCGACAGAGCGACAGAGATGGTGGAGAGGAGAAGGGGAGGTGATGGAGCGGTAAGGGCTTTTTTTGTCGCTTGTAGCTGTCACTGCGTCCCTTCGCCGAACATGGGCTATCGTATATATAGCTTATCTGGTTTTTATTCGTATTTGTCTGGCAAGAGACGTGTATTATCTCCAATACTAAACACGATTTCTTAAAACTATTTGCAGAGGAAATAGAAACCAATGATTAGGAACCACTGAAGCCATGATATGAGGATTCCACTCGTAGTTTAACAATAGAGGCATAAAACTAAAATCTAACACCGAAATTGAGACAGATTCTTTCCTAATCTTGGGAACCAAAGAAAGTATAAAATACAAATTATCTGAAGAAGGTATGTCACAGGAAGAACTTGGCATGTTCAAGTTTATTGAAGCTGAATAGTCTAATAAACGCTCAGATTTTTTATTTTTTTATTTTTTGTTTCGATTTCAGTTTTCTCAGCTTAAGCCAAATGTTGCACTAGTCATATACTTTAATTTAATTTAACATTACATTCAAAAAAAAAAAAAACGCTCAGATTCTTAGAAACTCTTTGCGTCGACAAGAACTTGTGAAGAAACTTGAGAGTTATGTCTAGATCTAGTAAAACAGCTTCGTGAAGTGTCCGATGACATCTCTAAGTTTTTCTTTCTTCTCTTCAAAACGAATCTGGAGAAGAATCACAAAGCAGTGAATTTTCAGAAATGGAGGTGAGAGACAAACCAAAGGAAGGATCCGACTGAGTCCTCATTAGGGTTTCGTTTTCTTGGAGATTTTGCTGTGAATTCTCTGAGAGAGAGGATCTATGGAATGTACCTCAGTGGTGTGAGAAGCTGAGAGAGGAAGGGTGAAGAAGATAGATTCATCAAAACGTCATGCTTTTAAAAATTCAATAAAGCGAACTGCATGGCGGGTTGAAGCACGAACTACGAGAATGTTGCATCGCGAGAGATGAGAGATGAACTGCGTGCAGTTTTTGTCATTTTGGGGTTTAGAAATTAGAACGTTGAGATCGACCATATCACCCACGAATAGTAATATTGTAGGTCCATCACAAGTAGCTGAGATGATTGGTAAAGTAGATTTTGAAATTAAACATTGAACTATGTTTGATTGCACTTAAAAATACATTATACGTCGTATATATGTATTCGTTTCCACATTATGGTATGTGTCCATGACTATGAGATCTACTAGAATTCAGATTATGGTATAATGGGTAAAGTAGATGTTGTAAACCGTTAAGGATTTATTTACATATTAAACATTATTGAACTATGTTTGATTGGCGCTAGATACTTAATTATACATCACAAATAATAGCTTTTCACATTAGAGTATGTTCAATTTCATGGCACAAACAAATGTTTCAGGTGGCTTCCCTCAAGACTAGCAATGATGGTGGGACTGAGGCTCACACTTTTAACGATATGTAAACAATCCCTCTTTATGGATTACGTATAATTAGCCAATCCCTTGAAACAAGAGATCATAATTAGCTTGGTCCTTGAAACTAGAGATCATATTATTCTTCACTGTGAAGTTAAGGAAGGTCTTTGGTCTAAAGTAACAAGAAGATTGGCTAGACATCAAAGATTCTACCTCACCTCGGACTCTTTGTAGACTAGATGCCTATGTAATCATTTATGCGATTTGGATGGAGAGAACAATCGGTACCACAACAACATTTCCATAGACTCACGCCTTATTCAAGGTTCTAAACAGAAAAATTCATGATGAAATTCTTGCTAAGAGAAAACGCAAGGGATTCAAAAACCTTATGCGATTTTGGCAAAAGTATGACTAGATTCATCTTTTTCATATTTCCTTTTAGGGGGTGTACTGAAATCAGGATTTTGGACATTTTTGGTTTTTTTTTTCTTTCTTTTTGTTTAAATCACTTGAAGAACACAATTCAGTCAAATGTAACGATTATCGGCGTGATGGCTCCTGTCCCCTATCTGCATGTTCCTCGTCGTCCTTTTCACCTACTCAATTCCGACCCTTAGATCCGTACCGCCGCTAATCTCATATACATCGAGAATCACTCCGACTCTGCCACCGTCAAGCCCGCATGTAGCCTCGCGGGCGGATCTAGACATAAATTTAGTATGGGGAACTATTATTATAACTAATAATTAATTTAGGAGCATTTAAATAAATTTTACACTAATTATTTAAGAAAATTTAAAAATTAGAGTGGGGCACATGCCACACCTTGTGCCTTCCTGCGTCCGCCCCCCCTCGCCAACCCCATCTTCTTCGCCATCCTCGTTGCCGCCGTCACTTTCATCCTTGTTCTCCTTTTCTACTACACTTCACCAATTTCCTCTAGCATTACTTCTCCGCCTTCTTTTTTTTGGTACCAATTTTTGTTTCTTTGGAGACTCTTATATACTCCGGTTAATCATCTCTGTTAAAACCGTTGGACATAGTCTTTTGAAAACGTTTCCACAAGCTTTGACTATAGGATTGCGTATGCTTAAGTTCATTCTTATGTACTCTTCTTTGACGTTTCAAGCTTTTGATGGATTCTTGTCGGTGTATATATACATGAACTTGTTTGAAACAAATAAGTAGAGACTTTAAAGGAGTCTTTCACATATCAGTGGTAAGTACAGCGGGATCGGAGTCACAGTGGCGTCGAAGTTTGAGATGAGTGATCTCGGTAAACTGACCTACTATCTTGGAATTGAATTTTGTCAACACAAAGAAGGGACAATTTTGAATCAAAGACGGTATGCGTTGAAAATATTAGAAGAAGCCGGAATGGCAGAGTGTAACTCGGTTCATACACCGATGGAAGCAGGCTTGAAACTATCAAAGGCTTTAGAGGAGAAAGACATTGACGCCACATGTTATAGGAAGAATGTAGGTTGTCTTCGCTATTTACTACACACAAGACCAGACTTATCTTACTATGTAGGTGTGTTAAGCCGATACATGCAAAATCCCAAGGAGTCACATGGAGCAGCAATGAAGCAATGTTTGAGATATTTGAAAGGGACAACTACTCTTGGATTTACTTTAAGCCGGTGTAAGGAAGTACCAAAGTTAATAGGTTATAGCGATAGTAGCCATAACATTGATCTGGATGATTGGAAGAGTACAATGGGACATGTTTTCTATCTTGGTAAGAGTCCAATATCGTGGTGCTCACAAAAACAAGATGTTGTGGCGATGTCATCATGTGAGGCGGAGTTTATGGCGGGAACTGAAGCTGCAAAACAAGTCATTTGGCTCCAAGATCTACCAAGTGAAATCGCTTGAACACCTTGTGAGAAAGTCATCATACTCATCGACAATCAGTCAGCTATTGTTCTTACAAAGAATCCGGTTTTCCATGGCCGAAGTAAGCATATACATAGGTGATACCACTTTATAAGAGAATGTGTCGAGAAGGAGCAAATAGAGGTTGTACACGTTCCGGGAGATGAGCAAAAGGCAGATATCTTGACGAAGGCACTTAGAAGATTGAAGTTCAAGGAAATGAGAGATCTCATTGGTGTGAAAGACATGGGTCAAGGTGACTTCAAGCTTAGGAGGGAGAATGTTGGAGTAAGTTTGAAGATAGCTTGAGACGGAAGTTATCCTAATTCTAACCGAGTTATGGTTATTAGGGAGATATGATCAAATATATTTAAGAGTTATCTAAATATATGTATCCCTAGTAGGATTAGGATTGGTGTTTTATTATAAATAGAGAAGTCGAGTCATGACCTAATTGAGAGGTGTGGTTTTGAGAGAGATTAAGAGAGAGCTTAAGTTTTGAGCTAGTTTCTTAAGCAATAAAGTGAGTTTTTACTTTGTTAATCTTGAATTCTTAAAATAATAATCTCGTTCTATATTATGCGTTCCTTATTGGTTCCACTTTGTCTCTTCAGCTCATTTTTCATATCCATCGCCACCTCATTGCCAAATGGTATCGAAGACTATGCACAATGTAGTTGTTGTTTGAAAGTTGTCTTGTACATTCTTTATACATAATCATCAATATCTCTGCACATTTCAAGGTATATCTTAATAGAAACAGAGGGAGTGATGATTTTCTTCATTCAGATCATTACATAACTTTAACGTCAAGTATGGAAGCTGAAGAGTACTAGGAAAATTAAAACATTTCATTTAGAAGGCAGTAACGTGATATGTTGCAATTTATAGCCGCTTAGCATACACTACTACAATATGTCTCTCGTATCATGTATTCTACCATACACATAAAAATCTTGAAATCATCTATCGATCTTTTGAAAGCAGTCGCAAGGATTTCTCCGCCAAACAAATACTTCCCCCATATGCCGAAAGGCCAATTTTGATCATCGATATGTGTAGTTCAATGTGCATCTTAAAGGTCTGAACCGCTCATCCACAAGTTTGTCGAAATCCAC